TTTCCCCTGCCAGCATCAGAGGCTAAATATAAGCCCATGGAGCCGGCCCTGCGTCCCTGCCCGTATCTGGCAGTGCCTGGCATTCCACCGCGATTTCACAGAGCCGATGCTTTTCACGAACTTGGCAGCTGAAGGGAGCCGCCTCTCCCCGAATAAGCTGTAGGAGTTTCTAGAGGAATAGGAAACAGATTGCTAGTTTTCTCTTCAGTGCAAAGGGCAATATTGCAATTTTCTTTTGAGTCCCTAAGTTAAACGCTGCGATCCACCTCTGGGAAGTAAAAAAAGTCACGCCAAAAACTTGTTCAGCCAGTGCTGCTTGTTGTCCAATGGTTTGTTTGGTAACACTGTGGTTTTTTTGAGGAAACTGGTATTTTTAAAGGATTGGCAGTTATTAAACAGCATTTCATGCGTAAGGGAAACTTATGATGAATACATTAGCATCTGTGCCAGACCAAACATCTGTAGTTTTTAATGGAGCAGGCAATAGGAAATAAGAATTTTAATTCTGCTTTTCAGCTGACACTATAAATCAGCTATTTTAAATTCAACCAAATTGAAGAATTTATTTTTTTAGTTCTTAGGGTCAAAAATGAATAGCCTTAGTTTGGCAAAGTATTCCACACAAACTAGGCATGTGAGTAATCTTGTCCTTAAATTACTTGTTTACACACTGATAAATGCGGATGATAGTTTTAAAAAACCACGGAGGCATATGCTAGTTCAAAATATGCCCAGGCGAATGGTGGGAGCCTGCCAAGTTTCACAGGCTTTAGGCTTCACTTTCACATTAGAAGTACCTGTATAAATCCAGAGCTGAAGAAGAAAAGTTCCCAGTTTGACTTGACAAGACATCCCTAGAGAAGAGAGCGGCTGCAGCCAGCCTGCCCTCCTCTGCTAGCTCGCCCCCAGTGCAGCCCCTCCGTGGGGGCTCGGGTCAGCCCCAGGCACTGCCCTCCTGCCTTGCTCTCACAGCTGGACCGCTGGCGACCAAAGGGGGACCCCTGCTCTTTCAGTACCTGCTGGGGAAGGAGGTCTCTGGCAACATCTCTCCTGGCTTCAATTTTTGCCATTTGGTTAGCAACCAGTGAGGGCTAAAAAGAAACCTGCCACAACATAAAAATCGTCACGGTATTGACATACTCAGGCTATGTACAGTCATCAATGACTCAGTTATTCTGACTTAATGAGTTACCTTTCGTGAGCTGGGTTACAGTAACCTGCCTTAATTAAAGAGTAAAATAAATTAGAATAAACTACCATGAAGGTGATTAAAACCAAAGCATGAAGTGTTTAAACCAGTATGTCATATTTAACAGGGGGGGTAGGCAAAAGATGTTCCTGCCTACACTTACACAGTCTGAGCTTAAGAGTGTAACTTGGTAAGCCACAGTAATTTAATAACTTAAAATTGTCCTATTGACGCAAAAGCTAAGGATTCAACACCTACAGAGGCTGGTACCCTTCACTATAGCTTGTTTGTTCTTAGAAATGGCTGATGCTGAAGGGACGTTACAGAAAACAGGATGAATGAAATCTAGTATTAAAGAACACACTGAACAGAGTATTTTGCAGACATACTGCCTGAATTATTAGAATGGGCTCGTGACTGGACAGAGTATTTAAACTACTCAGGAAGTAATTCTTGAAAATATGAAAAAAAAGCAGAAAATTGCAAAACAGTGCTGACCGACTTTAGTTAATGCATCTTGGAATTGCAGTGACGGTATCAAGATGAACTTAATGAACAGGAGAAATGGTGTGAGATAAACAAGCTATAATTCAGCAAGGACAATGGTAGCCTTCTACGTGTTGGTTGGAATAACTGATTGTGCAAACAGAGTAGAAAGTGACATGAAGATCTGTGAATTACCATGTGCCACCAACCAAATGCCAACCATTTCATACTGCTGAGAAAAAAATGCATGTCATATGGGGATGTATGAACAGGAGTGCCATATGCAAGATGTGTGAAATCATCCTCCTACTCTACTTGTTGCTGAAAGCCTCAGCCTGAATCCTGCACCTGGATTTAGGCACCGCACTCCACGGAAGATGTGGAGCGGCCAAAAGCAGGAAGATTGCTGGAATTCTGGTAAGCATAGTCTGAGGAAACCTGGGATGAAAGGGAAGAGGACTGGGCAAGTGACAGTGGTCCCAAATATGCAAAGAAAAAGAAAAGAAATTGTTTTCCAGATGCAGTGGATAAATAAGGAGGAGAGCTGAGTTACAAAAGGGGAATTCAGGTTAGACATGATGCAAATGCTGTAGCGGTAGTGCAGTGAAACACAGGGGGAAGCAGCCCAAGGAGGAGACAAAGTGCAGGGCGAGAAGCTCTGTTAGGAAAGACGTAATCTTGTCCTGTGGCAGAGGGCGGATGATGTCTGGAGAGTGTCCCCCCCCAGAGCTCTGCGATGCTGGTGAAAAGTTAAAAATCCTCAGCTGCTATAAACCGGGGAAACTTCATTAATGATTTATACTAGTAAAGGGGCCTTGCCTGAAATGTGTCCAGTGTAATCATTTTTTCTATCTAATTTTTGCTTTTAGCCATGAGATTATGAGTAATAGCTACGGGGCTACACTGTTAGCCAGAAATCCTTTAGCTTTCTAAAGGTCAGTTAATCTATGATCTAATCTGACGGACACTGAAATTAAGTGGAAGTAGTTCAGTGGGCTATAATGGAGGGTGGTTTGCGTCTCTAGCCTTCAGTTACCTTGAGTTAAAACACCCTTTATAAGCAAAACAACATATAGGCATGAAATAAATTTTGAAACGCATGCTGAATCTTTCTGTTGTACTGTAGGGAAAAAAAGGAAACCCTGCCTTTCTAGCTATCTGCTGGCTTAAAACAGTTCTCATTAAAAACTCCAGAATGCCTTTAGTGCCTTCTGTTCACCTGTTGATATTCCTGTCCCTTGGGAGATTTTATGCAGCTGGGGAAGCAGGCAAGATTCACACGAACTTGGCTGCTCTGCCTTGACTTGTTCACAGTGAGAACTGAGCTGCATATTTGAAACTTACTCCTTTTAAGAGTGGAATACTTCAACTAAGCAACACAAAAAAAAAAAAAACCCAGGGAAAAAAAAAAGGAGAAGAAAAGCAGAGTTGGCTATACAGCTCAGCAGTTAAAGGAGCACTAAAATAGAAGTGTGAAACTTTTCATAGTTATCTGTAAGTCTTCAAGGATTTCAAGTCTCAGCCCAGTGACTATTAGTGAATTAAAGATCTGAAAGGTTGTCCCAGCGAGCAGATGCTTTGAACCCTAAACAGAGCTAATTATTGCATGTTTTCGCGTCACTTTTGCCAGGTACTTTCATTTCATACGGCTGGACTTTAGACTGCTTTTCTACTACTCTTGCAACACATCTAGAAATCCCCTCCTATGTAATATTATACGTAATACACACTACTTAGTTTGAGGAATTGAATTTTATAATATATGCACAGGCATAAACACCCACAAAAGAAACCGAAGACTCAGGTCAGAAAGCTAGCCTTCTTTTGACTCTTTCTCGTGCTGCATTTCCTCTAGATTATAACACCGTTTAATTTTCATGGATGTCATCTGAAAATGAGAGCCGATGTAATGTAGCTGAATTCTCTTTGTCACTGAATATATTCTGTATGTTAACTGGTAGTGCGATGCACTGAAGCATAGTCTTTAATTAAAGTGCAACAATACCACAGCTACAGTACGGGCATGGCATAGGAACCTGGTGCTGGATATAAAAATAGCTGTGCTGAAACGTGTCATATCACTACACGATGTGACTAAGTCAGTGGAGACACTCTTACACTTGAAACCTGAAGTATTATTGAGCACTGATTTTCAGCTGGGGAAGCTGTGATCAAATCAATGCATGTATTATTCTCCACAAATGAATAACAGCATGAACGAGGACATATTAAACACCTACAGCGCACAAAGCTTTTCACACTGGTTATGAACCAAACACAAACAAAGAGGCTGTGAACTCTCCAGAGCTCTTGTTTTGTCTCCCATGAAGTGCTCCTGCCTGTTTGGATACAAGACGCAGCACCCCCACAAATGCCCTGGTGACAACAGGAGAGGGCACTAATTTTGGGTCAGGAGCAAGCTGACCTCCCTTCTCTCCTCCTCTTTCGTACCCTCGAGGAAAACAAAACAAAACAAAACAAAACAAAACAAAACAAAACAAAACGAAACAAAACAAAACTATACCCCACACAAAACAAAACAAAACAAAACAAAACAAAACAAAACCACCCTATACCCCACAGTGAGTGAAGGCAGTATGAAAACTGGGGAGATGAAGACACCTGTGCCGGCACCAGAGCCAGGGAGCAGCCAATGCCACTTCCCACTGTAGCCCTCCACCGCGGCATGCGCTGGCACTAACCGGACGGGTCCATCCCTGACCGGGAGAGGCAAAGCTCTCCACCCCAGGGCTGTGAAACCCTCCCTACGCTCGCTCAGCCAACACAGGGGCTTCAGGAGAAATGCAACCCAGAACCGATCGCCGCCTTTAGCCCACGGACAGGTGCCTGCCAAGCCAGGACAGCACCGCTCTGCTCTCTGAAGGAGCCAGCGCTTCCTAAATGCCCAACGCGTGCAGCCCCTTTGATTTGCCGGCACAGCTGACACTGTCATTGCAGCACGGGGACCTCTGCAAAGGTTACCCTCCAACGCTGGCCACCAAAACCAGAATCAAACATCCACAGAAAAGCAGCAGCTGGGCTCCCCCTCTGCACAAGGCATGGCATTCGCACATCCTTGTTACTCGCTACTGTGCGGGCACCGCATCCTATGGCAGGGCGCTACACCACGCCGGAGCCCCAGGCATGATTTTAACGTCCCGGCGCAGTACAAACAGTTTAGGAAAAGAGGCTGTGTGCATTTGGCACGGGGCAGCGTTGCAGGGAGGAGGCACCGGGAGCCATGCAGTGATGCTTCTCTGCTTGCTGGGAAATGCATCAGGGAGGCACAAACACACAAAAGACAGAGGAGATAGGAGATAGTTACCTAACATGACGAAGGGGATTCCCAGGAAGGTGGAATTGTATTTCCCACCAGTGAGATTGATGATCCCAGCTGCAGTCAGGGTGGCAAGGGTCACGGTCAGCAATCCCAGCAGGCCAAGCCAGGGTTTGCTGCGGACACAATCCTGCATGGAGCAGCAGAGAATGGCCAAGGTGACCACAAGGACCAAGCTTGTGATCAGGTAGCGTTCTGACACCCTGCTCGTCTTCTGGAAATCCTCCTTCAGCGAAGAAGAAGTAAAAGGATACATTTTGACTTTCCTGTTGGATTTCTGGAAAAGTTCAACAGTGTCACAAAAAATGGATTCCCACTTCTCTGCTACCATGTCATTCAAGGAGTTGATTGCCTGCAAGTAGTAGGTGAGCTGAATGGCTTCTGCAGACTTCACCCGGTCTTTGCTGTGCACAGTAACCCCACCAAGCTGATGCCCGTTATACACTTCCCTGCCATCCTTTAAGTGAGTAATCGGATAAGTGATTGCAAAATTAGTTCGATTAGAAGAACGAGCAGCCTTTAATTCCTCCAGTACATGCACTATGTCGTCCACTATGCATGTCTTGTCATTGTTCAGGATACATATATGGGCAAACGTGTAATTGAAACCAGGTCTTTGAACTTGGATCCTGGTCACAGCAGAGTGCAACTACAAGGGAAAGAGAAATCACACACGTTATTCATCAGTTCATCTCGCACAGTAGCAGCCAGAACAACAGCGGCTCCTCACCTCCGTCCCTTTCCTATTTGATCTAAGCAACAACAACAAAAGATCTGGTGACTGCAGTATTAATAGCACACTCATTGCAAAAAAAGGAAACATGCATTAAAACAGTAGTATTATTCCCCTACGTCCTTCTGGTAACTTTCTGGTGACTGCAGTATTAATAGCACACTCATTGCAAAAAAAGGAAACATGCATTAAAACAGTAGTATTATTCCCCTACGTCCTTTGCTGGTAACTTGGGTGTGCCGTGACTTGCATCTGTGCCATGGGCATCTGCCGTTTGGCCTCTCTATATAAGCAAACTCAAAAGGCCTGGCCCTCCACTTTCAAGTGATCTGAGCGAACATAAAAGGGAGAGCTACAGACCGACCGTTTCTGGGGACACTGTCGTGCTCGGGATTGCCAAATTACTCTCTTGACAGATAAACGTCAGGTTCAGAAGGCAGAAGAGCAACATGACCGGGGGTGCCACCCGCACGGGATGTGCCGGCAGCCTGGCAGCTGGCAGCGGCAGGGGACTAGCACTCGCTCAGAGTAAAGGACAGGCCACAGCTTCATGTCCTAAATGTAGAGATTGTTGGCATGGCAGGAGTAAGATAGCTGGCATTAATTAATTTGCCCTCTTTTCCCCTCCCTCTTTCTCCCATCAAATCCTCAGCAAGTCTGAGAGCGGGAAGTAATGGCAGAGAATGACACTGGTTTTCTCCTTCTCTCTCCAGGAGGTTGTGTTAATCAGGGAAGGCCCTAATTTTAGGGCCTGCAGGTTATTACCACTTATAGGGCTGCAGCTCTTAGTGCAGCCTCTTTTGTAAGTTGTTTTGCATCCTTCTGAAATTCGGCATGCTTGAGCTCTGACCCAAAGTGCATTCAGTTATTTTTGAGCATCAGAAGGGCAGGAAAATTACCCTCTCTTCTTGAAAAAATATAGAAAACTCTTGCAACCTTTTCTGAATCCGTTTTAGTCAACACCGAAGAAGCAAGAAATCTAAAAGATGGTACGGGAATAGCTCTAATAGGCTGAGGTTACAGTATTTTTCAAAAGTAGAATATTGAGTTTGCTAATGTTGGGAGCCTTAGCAAAGTGCAAGCTGTTTTTTTGCACATTTTCCTTGCAAAATGTGCAGGCCTCACCCACCACCATCACCAATTAATTCCTTCTGTGCCGCTCTAGTTGTGCAGAGAGTACCAAGACCTTCTGTAAGGATGCTGCCGAGGCCAAGGTGATATTACCCACAGCCAGAAGTCTGAGCAGACTTTCCCTGCGGCTGTGATATCCTTCATCGTGGGTAGCCACAAAGTTCAGGAAGGGGCTCCCTCTGCTCTTTTCCAGCTGGCATGGGGGGTACCTGACATTCCAAATGCCAGGGGGCCCTGCACGCCACTGCGTACGTGCTTTGTGCATGGCTCGGTGAGATACGTGATTCTCTCAAGGTGTCAGCAGGGACGATGCAGAGGGGCGTGCGCCCCTCGTGCTGCCTGGTGCCAGTGAACCCCGTGGACATGCCAGTCTGCATAGCCTGGTTGCTTGGGTGGGCATGTCTTGCTGCTGCGGGGGGAGCAAATCACTGGATCCGCTCTGAGGAACTGCATGGATTTATCCTTTGGTCCCTTTTACACCGAAGGAGATGGTCGTAGGAGCATTGCAAAGGTGTGGCGACACAACCAGGGCTGATAAAAAAGGAGAAGCCCTCCTTCACCTGCAAAACGGGGAGACCACAGCTCTTCCAGGGAGCTGAAGAGCCAAATTAAGAATGGCTATAATTTCTTTTCCTTAAAGGGGGGATAGTTACTTTCTGTCTTCAGATTTTGAGCAAGACAATGAAAACTGGCTACGGGGAGATGATTCCTTTTTTTTCTACTTGCGTATGCTGTTTTCCACTGCAATCCAAAGAGGGCAGGAGGCTCTTATGCCCAGTAAAGAGGCTGGGATTAGGTGATATTTAATGGAACTAGTTCCTTCTGAAGACAAACACTGACTAAAAAAATAGAAGATACGGTACATGAGAGCGGTAGAGCTTATATACTCATCTGGTGGCAATGGACAAAATGTCTAATAACCATGGCTAAAATCCTGCGTCTGTTGAAGTTAAATAGTCATCGTGACTTTTGTGTGGTATTTCAGACCTATTTTCAAAAACCCCCCCCCCCCCCATTTATATGGTACTATGAATCTGATTGTTTTGTGATAACATTGCATAATCTGTGATGGGTATAACTTTAGTTACGCTGCCTCTGTTCCTCAGGATGATATTACATCATATAGGGAAAGATTACAAAACTCCTATATTCTCAACTTGTTTCTCTAGCAGTTTGGGGGTGTATTTTTCCACATTTGAGTAGTTTTTATTTTCGACAGAACAACAGTTCAATATTGACATTAGAAAGATAGGTTTGAGAAATGAACTGAACTAACAAATCTTTTCACAGTACTGTGAGAACACAATACCTGGCCATGTTGAGAAGCAAAATTCTTCATCGTGGTGGAAGAACAAATCTGTGGAACAGATCAGGGGCTTTTGCACAACTTTCTTCTAAAATGAAACAAATTAAAAGATTTGCAGGAACATGCCAAAGAAATGAGCCTGTATGGGGAATTCTTCCCATCTTTCCAGTTTGTTTCTGCAAAGCTCTGCTTTGCAAGAGCTGTTTTGGGGTATGAATTCAAATGTATGTCATTACAGTTTGGGGAAAATGCCCTGATTTACCGAATCAAAGACAGATATCTGATTTTAAATTTTTTACAATGGCAGCTACTGTATGGTTTTCATTGACAACGGTTGTAAAATCAGATGTCATATAAAGAAGCGCAGCTGAGGACAACTAGGAGGAATATAAGGAATTTCCTGCCTGTGTTAAACTCACAATACAAGTCCTTCAGAGAGGATCCACCAAGTGACACCATGCAGAAGAAACTAAACTGTCATGCAACTTTTATCAAACAATGTGTGTTGCTATTTACCTACCCCGCCTCACTGCTGCATTTCCTTCCTTCTACATCTGAAGCACTTTCTTTTAATATTTAGGTTATAAAATAACCTCATCTGTCACAGCTGTTACTTCACCTTTAGTGAAAGGCTAGAAGCTAAATGTCATACCTAAAATACTCATTTCTTCTTGGAAATGATCATTTCAGACTCAGGAGCCCGTTCTGCGACAGTGGCCCGGTGCTTCCTGCGAGGCCATGCTGGGCTGGACCAGGCACCGCGTGGGGGGACCTGCCCGTCGCACCTCCCAGCGATGGGGCTTCGGGGAGGAGAGGGGAGCAGGCAGCTAGCTCTGCATCCTGGCACATCCCGGCAGCCGAGCAGCCCCCAGAGCCGGCTGCAAGCTCATGCAGTTTAGAGCAGCTCTGAGACGTACACCGAGCTTTACCAGTGGCCACAACGTTTGGTCTCAAATTGGAGGCAAACAGCCAAAGAGGAGGAAAACCTGCCATCCCCTCCATCCCAGCAAAGTATGCCAAGCACTGCCTCAGCACACCCAAGGATTCAGCTCCGGGAAGCCCAACTCAGACTTTCACCCTCAAGACAAACACATCACTTTACCTGCACTTTGCTTTTTCAGACCAGATCCTAGAAAAACCCCCTCTGTCGCCTCAGTGCAGGGCAGGGGTGTGCTGCAGCATGGCCGCAGGCTGTCTCTCTCCCTTTGCTTGCCCGTGGCAGCCTGTGCGCCGCAGGGCTGCCGCCTCTTCCCCACCGAGAGCTACAGTCCCACGGCACTCTCCTCTCTGCTGCCATGCTGGGGATTCAACTGCGGCCACGCAGATTTTTCCACTCGCATCCAGAGCCCACACCCATAGCCCCAAGTGACTGGCTTCCACAGAAAATGGAAGGTCCAAGAGGTTACAAGGGCATGTCCTACGAGTTCAAGGGATTACACGGTCTGCAGTTTGGCTTGTCTATGGTACACCAGGAGGTCCCCCAGGAAACTTCAGTTTGTTAACAGGAGATGGTAAAGCCTGTTGTGATGGGGACAACATTAGCAATATGCTAATGCATAATGCATATTGCACTCCTCAGTGCAGCAAATTTTAATAGCAAGTAACCATATTCTGAATAAACCTGGCACATAGTACTGGGACAAATGACTGACCACCAGATTCTCATTTATCCAGCTGTTTTCTTATCCTTACCAATCCTATTAGGAGAAAGGGAGATTTAAAGGAGTAACAAAAGCTGAATGCATGGTTTTTCTTGAAAGGAGACATGCACTGCTTGCTCATTGCTCACAGCTTTTTCAGCTAGCTAACAGTGCAAGGAACCAACAAGCAGTTCACTGCTGAGATGCCAGAGCACTGCAGCATGAGAACTGCACAGCATCGCCTAAGCTCCCTTGCCACGGTGGCACACTGTCCCTGAAAACCCTCAGGCAGAAATAATAACTGCCACCTCCCCCTTTCATCGTTGTTTAAACGGTAACCATCACTTGCAGTTCCCCTCTCCCTTCCGAAAATGGTGTTTATGTGTGTCCCATACCATGCCAGAGATTTCTAGAACAGAGTTTTCTCTTCCTCCAGCCTTTAGCCATTCGCATTTGGTAACATCTTGGTCTTGGTCTTTGTTTACTCTAAGTCCCATGCTCACTCAGTTATTTATTTTACACAGAGAGGAAAGATGGCTTCAACCGGGAGACAAATCCCTTTCTGCAAATACCTCCAGCTGAGGGCTGTACTGGTCTCATGCCTCCACACCAAGCCATGTTTCAGCCTGTGGCATGGCTGACAGATGAGAGGTGGCGAAATTGCGCTGTCCCACCAGCTGGTTTTGCCTGCGGGCCCAGGAAGGGATACCAGGAGGCAAAACATAAAACTCCCTCACTTATCCTGGGCTAAACCATTTGCTCCAGGGCCTCAGAGAGCCGTGGCTGCAAAGGTTTCTTCAAGCTGTTTTTGGCTGCCGGTCCTCCTACCTCTGCCATCAGCACAGGAAGGCAGGTGCCAGGAACTAGAGCCCCCCAGTAGGCTCAGTTAAGCTGTCCCGGGATGGCGAAGCCCCGCACCAGGCTCTGCGAGATGGCTCTTCCCCATACAGAGCTTGGCACAACTTTCAGCAGTGGCAGCAAAGCTGAACCTGAAGGCAAAGGGGTTGTACTTAGAGATGTATATTCAGGACAGAAAGGAAAGCCTGATTTTATTCTTGAGTCCATGCAAAAGATGCAGGGAGCTACAAGAAGGGGTGAGGAAAACCTCTAGCCCCTTTGCTTTGTTGAGAAGTCCTTTCTTTAATTCAAAAGTGAGCAGTATTACCAGAATTTTGTCAATTTAATCAGGTAACAAAAAAGTCTGCAGCCTCCCTGTGAAGCAAACAGATCCCATCCCAGCAGGGAGGGGTTAGAAACTGCTGATTCATTTGCAAAATGGTCCAATCCCAGAAATCCTTTAAGCCCACATCACATAATCTGCTACCCCGATCAAAGCTATGGGCAAAGGGGACGAGGCACGAGGACCCAGCGATGGCCACTGGTGTCCCACACGGGTCTCGCCTTGCTGGCGGCACAGCTTTGCTCCCAGGGAAACTCCACGGTGAGAGCGACAGCAACATGCAACGGGACACTTCAGTCTTGCCAAGCTCCTATTCCCAGCTGATGGAGAGACATCCTGACTCCTGTAGGAGCTGGATCAGAGTCGCAGCCACCATTTTTAATATTAAGGATGTGTACAACTACCTCCTGCTTATCATATATACCGCAAAAATGTATTTGGTTTTGCTGCTGAGCGGTGACGTGCAGTGTTTGATAGAGAACATCGCTCATCGTAAGGACTTGACTATGCTTTGTTACTTGACATACAGTCGATGTATGGCCAACTAGACAAAACCAGCTAGATATACAGATGTCCTCCTGTACTGCAAATGATCTGGCACATAGAGAGACATATTTTACTCACAGGAATAAGATCTTTGCAATGCCGTATTACTTTTTTTGTTGTTGCTATTATTTGACTCTAATAGTCTTTCAGTCTACATCTGATGGTTCAAATTAAAAATGAGCTTCACTCTAGTCAGTGTTGCCAACTCTTACAATTTTTTTACTGTCATTTTCACCAACTCTGTTTTTTCTCTGAGCCCTGGAGCCTGAAGTATTGTGATTTTTTTTGAAAAATCTCAGCTTTCATTAAAAAAAAAAAAAGTCTGATCTCATGGTTATGGACGAAAGCCTGAGAAGGCTCAAAAATAAAGTGACGAATGAACTCATTACCTATTACTGCTTAAAATCTTATCACTGTTTTGGGTTCAAGACTGAAAAACTAGAAAGTAGGATGAAGACAATGATTTTAAACATGGGCTTCGTTTTCATGGGAAGCTGGTTTACTCTTTTGGTAATTTTTACAGGTAACTTGTGCCAAGGAAAACGAAGAGGAAAAAAGCCTTTAATGGATAGCTATAAATTTCTCCACTTTTTCTATGATCTCAGTAATCTCTAGCATTTCATATCTTTGCAGAGCGCTTTTTTATTCACTTCAAGAGATGGCCTCAGTCAAAATGTAAAAGGGTTATGAGAGGGAAAAGACTTGCACAGCTCCCAGCTTAATTCACGAAAGAAAACACTGTGGGCTCTGCAGGCATGGGCAGAATTAAATGATTAAGAGTGTATTTTCATCAGAAGAAGGTGCAGAGAGGGAAGGCAAGGGAGCCCCTAAACAGGCCTGTGCCCTGCTGTCAGTCTGAAACCATGGGTCCAGGGCAGAGGTGGTGCCCACCAGCCTCCTGACCAAACCAGTCTGGCCGAGGGATGGCGAGTGTGCACACAGCTGATGGAGGAAGCCAACAGATCCTAACGGCTCAGGATAAACACGAGAAGTTGCAGCTGGAGAGCGTACAGCGAGGATCGCTACGGGTAGCTGGGCTCTTTTTCTAGCAGTCCTACAATCAGGTTTCCTGAAGAGACGCTAAGATACTAATTATGCAAGCTATGTAGTTTTACAACTACTTCTTTCAGCTGTCCAAAACATGGTGAATTATATTTTCTCCAAACAATTTTCATGTAAATAAAATCTAAAAATTGTTCAAACTACAAGTCATCAACTG